CACCAATACAAACATCTCAATAAAAGTCACAGCAAGGAGCTTCCCTCTCTGCTCTGCTACCCTCATATGACACCCACAACTCTAGAGCATTAATATATCTCACCACACAACCCTAAACCTGCTGCTGTTACTGTTTGGACACATCTCCACTTGACTCAGCTCTCACAACCATATCCCCACTGGGGGGGTCAGAGGATTCACTGAATGAACCACTCCAGGATCTCAGATACTCAGCTCTCACAACCATATCCCCACTGCGGGGGTCAGAGGATTTACTGAATGAACCACTCCATGATCTCAGATCCCCAAACCTCCTCAGGCATTATTTTCTGTAAGGTAACTCATGCTGCAGTTTGTTTCCTGACAGCCTGGGAGGATCCCTGCAAAGCATGAGGAAGCTGAGCAGCCTCAAGTGTTACAGCCAGGGATGAAAACTGCACAGCCACAGCAAAGCTCCAGACTTGGCCATCCAGGGGTTTGTTAGTCCACTTGGGAACAACAGGAGACAACAGCAGCCCATTCATGCCCTGTCTCTGGGAGAACACTGCTGGTCTGGTGGGCAATGAAGCATTAACAGAAGCTGGGGGAGGCAGGAGGGAGGCAAACTTGGGCATAAAGGAGAGGTTTGTTTTTACATTCCTGCAGTGAAGCAGCTCAGGGTAAATATTGGGGAGCTGAGAACAAGCTGAATTTCACATACTTAGAAGGCTCCTACACAAGAGGAACTGGGGAGGGGGGAAAGAGAAGAGCTGACTTAGGAGATACAAACTGCTAATAAAGTGTAGAACAATGACAATAAAACTTATAAACAGCATCAAAACACAATGTGTTAGTAGACATCACACAGCTAAGGGTGTGTTAGCAGCACCTCCAAACCTGAAATTTCAGGGTAGCAGGAGGCAGGATTTAGAACATGCCCATTTATTAATAAGCAGAGAAAAATGCTGCAAGTCTTTCCTAACAAGCCCTGAGCCCCACCAGCAGCATGACTCAGCTCATGGCATGTAATCCAGTGCAGAAACAACAAAAATCCTACGGGAGCTATTAAAAAAGACACACCAAGTAAGACAAAACATCAGGAGCTTTATTTGAAAGGAAACAAAACTTTCTGATTTATGAAACCCTCAAAGGGCACAGATACACTTGAACCTGGGACACTGCCAGCAACAGCTCCAGTGCCCCAAGTCCCTCATTAGAAGTGTCACTGGGCTGTAAATCTGAATCTGGCACCACTTAAAGAGTTCAAACCCAGGCACACCTTTGCCTCCTGGCTGTGCCCTGGTTAGCACAGCTTGACTTCTTCAAAAGCCACTGAACTGCCACAAAGCAATTAAGAACTGAACACCAGAGATTTTTTTTCCCTTAGGGATTTTGGGATATGCTGAAAGAAATCTGACTGTACTGTTTAACCTGGGGAATGTACGTGGTAAGGTGGTGTTCCTTTCCTCTGTATTGTTTGAAAACTATGTGCAGAAAAAACAAAGTGATGTCACAGGATGTCGTAATTCTCATTCAGAGACAGAATAACAAAGTTGTGAAACTACTGTAATGTATTTCCAAGGTGCTTATTTGCTTCTGCTCATCTATTAGACGAAGCAAAATGAACTGACACAGACAGAACACAACACACTACTATGTTGAAAACTGGGAAAATAAGTTTGTTATCCTGATTTTAGGAAAGAAATGATACATACCCATTAAATCCAGTGACAATTTTCAGGATTCTTTCTTTCATCTCTTCAAAGGGAATATATTCCACGTTGGGATTGGGGGGCCCTCTTGGCTCAGGAGCTGAGGTTCTGAAATCATCCATGACTTTCTCCAGTTTGAAAATAAAATACCCTTTAAACTGAGACCACTGAACCCTGCACAAAACACAAGAATTGAGACAGAAGTCAGTGCTAAACCCAAGGAAAAACAGTGCAATTTTCTGCTGGCATAACAACATTTGCCAGTCTAAGACAAAGGAGGAAAGCAACACAGTGTTATTTTCCTTCCTGAATTTAAAGCATGATAACTATTTCAGTAATTACAGCAGAACAATGTAACACAAGTCACTGGCCATGAAGAGCAGGGGAAGTCATTTCCTTACAGAACCAACATCCCCTGACAATGCAGAGCTCAAAGTGAAATGTGCACTTGCCATACAACTTCAAGTGAGCCCAGATACTGCCCAAAGCTCTCACTGAGCCCACAAGAGGCAGAGGGGAGAAAAGAAACACCTCAGCACAAAGTGTTTTAAGTCTGGAACACACAGAGGATTGTACACAGCATTATCTGCTTCCCTTAGAAAACCTTCCTAAAAGGCCCTTTGTAACTCCATGCACCTCCACAGCATTTATCAGCACCTCTTTCTGTCAGAAAGGCAAATGTCACATCACAGCTAGCACTTGTTGATGAATAACTGAGCAAAACAACTTTGACTCCCAATAAACATTCCCACAACAGTAAGCAATCTATTAAGGTCACTCCAAATTACCTTCTGACTCACAGCCTCGAGTTTTATCATTTGGAGAACTCTAGGGATTGACCTTTTCCAGGGAAGAGGTGTCACACTGCACACAACAGACAAGGTGAGACAGTCCCTGTGCACCCACAGCCTCACACAACAGCCACAGGAGATCTCTGGGGTCTCCTCCAGCTCAGCACGTGGAGCAACCTGGAAGCAACTGATTGACTTCACTATCAATTTCATTCTACTCCTGTTGATGCAGGAGCTTTCACAGCTACAGGATGGAGATGACAGTGGACAAAGAAGAAATGAGGAACTGCAAACCAACAACAGAGAGGAAATGATCTTTGCCATAAATCTGTAACACACAAAATCTGGTATGAACAGGCCCAAACCAGACATGTGTAAAATGGGAACCCCTGGACAACCCTTCAGCTCCTTCTCAGAGAAATATTAAACTAGATGTAAATCATTTAGCCAAAGGCTTATTTCCACAGGCTGTGTGAAACACAGTACCCAACTTCCACCATGTGATCTCTGCCTTGATTGCCTCCTTTGTCTCAAAGAAATAATTATATGAGAAGGGGGAAAGTTTACCTTAGGTTTATCTACAGAGATACAAAGTCTTTCATTAGGCTAAATTTGCACAAATGATGGAAAGCAAAGCTCTGTTTGCCTTCACAAGAGACCATCAAGTACCTCACATCAGAGGAGACTGCAGGGCTTAGTGAAGAATAATACTAATAAAAATTAATAATTAATAAACAAGGTCCCCAAAGGGAATAGCCTGGATGGATTTAATAGCACCACCGAGTCTGACAGGATTCTGCCTCCCATCACTCTCCACCCAAAGCAGAACACGACAATGTTCCAATTCACAAAATTAGGTACAAATGTTAAATTAAAAAATCTCTACAACTCTGCAGTGTCACCACCATGAAACCAAGTGTTCATAACACATGATGGATTTAACACACAAACATACCACAAACCACAGTAAATAACCCCAGGACAGGGTGGGATTTCTCCCCCCCAGAGCATCCCTAGAGCTTGATTTGCCTCAAAGGGGATTCCACTCTTACTCTAAACATTGTGACAACCGCACTTAGATACATTTCCACCCTTAAAAACTTCAGCTCTTCTTTGCTTTCATTGTTACTTACTTCTGCTAAATAGTAACATTTATCTTTTCATAGACTGTTAACCCAACAGTGTTATGTTGCTGAAATAAATCAACAACATCAAGTTTAGAGTGACAATTTACTGCCTGAAAGCAGCTCCCACACAATGCTGGAGCTACAGAACACAAAGAATTTCACATTTTGCTCCTAGATAGGAGTGTAGAAAACTATCACTTGGGTCAAACTCACATTTTGAACTAGTATTTCTTGTGTTATATAAAAAGGCTAAGAACTTGCATCTTGACTAGCAGGTCAAAAGAGGTGATACTTCCCTTCTGCTCTGGTGAGACCCACATGGAATCCTGCACACAGTTCTGGTGTCCTCAGCATAAGAAGGACATGGAACTGTTGGGGCAAGTCCAGAGGAGGCCATGAAGTTGCTAAGAGGATTGAAGCATCTCCCCTCTGAGGAACCAACCAAAGGAGCTGCTGTCAGCTGCAGGGGCTCAGGACAGCCTCACTCTTGGGACATTACTGCCTTTCTCCAGCAGTTTTCCCAACACTGTTAATTCCCTGTTGCAACAGGAAGGCCAGAACAGACAAGTGGTACCTTCACACTGTAATCACAGATGTAACTGTTCCAGTCACAGAGGCACCTCATGCTCCTCTGCCCTCAGGGCTGTTCAAACCATCAACTCATTCCTGACAAAAACAGTGAAGTTATTTCTGCAGGGACAGGAAGATTTTCGCAGTTTCCATTTACTCCAGTGGAAGTGATCAAAAGTGAGTGTCACAAGAGGGAATCACCTTTCCTGTTTTACCAGTCCATGAAAATGACATGGACAAGTTGGTATCAGCTGAACTCTAGAAACTCACATCTCATCCATAGGGCAAACCAGTTTGGTCATAAACAAAGGGTAGAGCTGTTAGCCAATACCAAATTAAGATTAAAGATGGCATATCCTCCTACCTATCACAGCAATCTAGACCTACACCTCTAAAATGTTCCCACCATACACTGAAAGGTCACTGAGAAAGCCAAACAGTAGTGAGAGCAGTTAACAAATGCCAAATATCTATGTTCAAGACAAGTTCTCCACATGTCTCACAAGCTCCTTGAGAGCACCTTCAGCATCAGGATCCAAGATGTCCATTTGGCTGCTTTGTTACAAAATGGGAGAGACCAAAACTAAGAAAAGTTTGGTCAATCCCTTCTGTAGTTAAATCAAGAGCCAAATAGTGAAAGAAAACTCTTCTACACAGCTTTGTGTTTTATACACTCGAAAATAAATGGCAAACATTTTCGGTTCTGTAAGAATAACAAACCGAAGAAATTCCAAGGAGAGAATACTGTTCATGCTTTTTTCTGTTTATAAATACTTCTCTTCCCACTCAGCATTGTGCATAATCAGCCCTTTCTTCCAAGCCACACTACACTGCTTGGGAATTTGTACCAGCAACTCTGAGAACTTTTACAGCCACTCAAAGAAAAAAGTTCCTGAGCACATTTGATGAGCTGTAAAAACACATTCAAGAACAATACTTCAAAAACGAGCTGATCCCAGAATGTTTTGGTTCAGTGTATTTTCCTTCCAGAGAGTGACAGCTTTGTAGTCACACACTTGAGGAATCTCTACAGCATCTCACCACAGTATCTGGGTCAGGCTGTGCAGTTGTACCTGCACACACACAGCTCCCCTGGGCTAATGAGCTGTGGTTCCACACATACCCAAATCACTTAGAAACAACAACAGCTTATAGGAAGAATCCTCTGCCTCCCTCCCACCTGCTCCTGCACACCCTTCCCTTTCATCAGCCTAAAGGTTTTGCTCTGACAGAGAGAAAAATCAAGAGGAAGAAACTGATTTTATGAAAAAAAGCACTTAGCAAGAAAAAAAAGTAGAGAGGCAGTGAGGAGTGGCTGAAGAGAAGCAATGACAGCACTTCAGAGCTGCAGCCTGTACAGACACACACACCAACACATCAGAGTCTCCCAGGACAGCTGTAAATGCTGCTGGTTCAGCTCAACAACTCCATTTTACTTAGAAAGCACCTTTAATAGCCAAGCAACAGATGAAAACACAGAAGCTAACACAGAGTCCAACAGTTCAGTCTTTGAGCACGACTTAAACACCTGATGCTATGTCCTAGATTCAATATACACTAACAATGTGCTTTGAGGTATGAAAAGATGTTTAACACCCTAATATTGTGGTCCCTGATGTTGCAACTTCAGTACAAATCAGAAACAGGACAGAGAAACATCTCTGAAGACACTCAGTTGTATTTGACACAAGTCAAGGAGGAAAGCAGCACCTGACCAACGGTCAGAACCATGAGGAACATCAGCAAGTTTTGAGAAGATTCACATATCATTAGAGAGCAGCATGAGAAAAGAGTGAAAAAGGGTGGGGGGAAGACAAAAGACATGAAATGAGCAAGGAGAGATTAAGTAAAATGAAAGAACAACTGCCAATAAATAAAAATATTGAAAAAACTGCACAAAACCCCAGGACCGGATTGGAATTACACAGTGAAGATGAGAAAGTGCCACAAAGGAGTGTAAGGGAACTCTGCACAGTCCTACAATAACATACTGAGTCACTGAAGGCTGATGAGGCTGCAAAAATATCTCCACCGCATAGGGGAGGAAGAATAATAACTCAAAAAAAGATACTGATTTCGACAAGGGACACAAGCTAACATTGCCAAGGCAGAAACGTGGAAGAACACAGTGCTGAGTAACTCTGTTCTCTCAAAGCAAACTATTTCACACTCTGCTTCACTACATGATTTTCTGTTGGAACTGATCCACTGCCACAGATCCAAGTTGATAAACTCAACTCCACCTGATGACCAGCACTGCAGCAGGGGCACACACAGCCCCCCTGGACAGAGAGCAGCTCAAGCCACCTGGGGCTGTGCTCTGACCTAACTGAATTACTAGCACAAAGTTGCTTGCAAGGAATGATTGAGTCTCTACTAACAGGATTTGCAGAGAATTCGCCTTGCCAAACATCCTAGCAAAACAAAATTGCATTTGACATGGGCATAATCTCATCATGTCACTCCCAGAGTGCAAAAGGCTTCTCCCCATTCCCTTATCTCCTGCTTCCTCAAAATGTTTGTGCTGATGAAGCTGAGGAAGAAGATTTTTCCCTCCCCACAGTTGTTCCTGGGGAGGAGAACCCTCTGTCACTATCTGTACTATTTCTCTATGTCAGAGAATTAACTGCTATTTCCTTCTGACCACTGAGTAAGTTCTGTATTTGGTTCTTTTGCCACTTGTTAT